CGTTCTGCCGGACGGCTGTGAGGGGGGCGGCCATATAACCTATCCTTACCCTGGGTCTTGCCAGAGAGGGAGAGAGAGCATGAGACTTGCATTTACAACTACAGCGTTACTGTTTGGCATGATTTTTCTATAGTCCCCTTTCTGTGGTTGCCTAATACGTTTCTTTTTTTGTTGGTACATTTGCTCCGCGGCTTTTTAAAATAAGTTTCTTCTTCCCTCTCCATCTAGGAGGCTTCAGCACCTTCCACGCTCTGATCAATAGTTGCATCCACACCCTAATGTACTCCTACTATGCTCTGGCTGCGGCTGGACCTCAGTTCCATCCCTACCTTTGGTGGAAACGGTAAGATCTCCACGTATTCCTCTCCCCTTAACATGTCTTCATCCAAATTGCTCTTGCATCGTGGGAATAGGACTACTTAAGGGAAATCGGAGGATTTTTGCTTTTCTTGGGTTGCCTGGTGTGTCACCTTTAGTGTGTATTTGTCGTCGCTCGTAACTCATTCCTCTGCTGCATCTGTAGTGGTAAATCTATTACAGTCCCTGGTTCTTGTCTCATTGTGTCCTGGTCCTGGCCTTTGCAATGCGACTTTAGCCCTGTTCTACCGGTCCCGTATAGGAAATCCCGCTTGAACAATAAGCTAGCTATATGTACAGAGCATCCATCAGACCGGTGTTAGTATATGTCTGCGAAACATGGCCTGTCAGAAAGGCAGACATTCTGTCGTTCGAAGTCTTCGACCATTGGTGTCTTCGGCGCCTCCTAAGAGTCTCCTGGCAGGATCGAATTTCCTATTTTGAGCTGTATCGGAGGTATTTCAAACTTGCACGTATAGCATCCTACATCAAACATCGCCGATTACAATGGTTTGGCATGTCCTGCGCAAACCATCGACGGACCCCTCGTAGTGCAAATTGGAGATACCGACATGGCGGTCAGCTGAAGACGTGGCTGGACACTGTCAAGTCAGACGTCGAACGCCTGGATCTCGACGATGGCACAAGCAATGGGTTTGCATCTGCGAGGCGTTCGCTTCCGGTCGCCATCAATGGGCCACCGCTATCCGTGAAACCGATTCATCCAACAACAAGAGCTAATCGGATCGAGTGAAAGTAGCTCTATCAGCATTGGCGTATTCCGTACTTTGCTAGGCGGGTAACTTGCCCAAAAACCCGAGTACACTCCCAGCTCCCGATGGCGCTACGCAGCTCAAAGCGTTAGTCCTAATCAGGCCTTGACCTTGCTGGTGTGGTTTCGAATACCAACGAGGTTTTCACAACTGGGTCAAATAAATTATTCAACTCTACCGGACGAGTGCGTCCAATGGAGACATTCCCGGCCAAAACCGGCAAGATAACTAATTCGTTGGTTGGACATGATAATTTTGTGTAGAGAATTCTGTTTGGGCAGTCGGTATGCGCTATCCGAATTCCTTCTCTCCATGCTTTGCAGTAGGTTAGCCGGATGACTTAAGCCAGGTGTGATCAAACTCCCAGGCTCCCGGTGGGACGTGGCGGTTCATTTGGCTAGGGCGCTGACTGTACTCAAGTCCTGTCTTTGGTTTGAATGCCACTGAGTCTGCCGAATTTTTCATAAGTGGGTCAGCTAGATGATTCAAATCTGCCAAACTTACTTAAATCGAAATCGAATGATGTTTGCTTTTCCTAGGGAGATCCCTGAAGTTGCCTGGTTGTCCTAACAGTCACTCTGGTAACTCGTTCGTTCTCTCTGTCATAGTTTCGCGCTCTTGTTTCCTCGTCTCTTGTTTCTTGGACCTTTTGCCGTTCTCCATTAGACCTGCTCTACTCTGGTCTACTATGGTTTTTTTTCTCGCTGCAGGTACCTCACCAGCGCCCAGATCCTCCAATTCATCATTGTCATCGCGCACACTATGCAGCTCTTCTTCTTCGATGACTGTGACTACCCCATCCTCTTTGGCTGGTGGATCCTCTCCTATGCATGCATCTTCCTCGGCCTCTTTGGCAATTTCTACTATTGCGTAAGTTGCTTTGAATGTGCCCTGAATGCGGATGGTACCGGATCTGAGCGGGGTGGGGCGCTATGTCCTCCAGTGTCCCCTTCTGACCGCTTACTGTCAATTACCAAAAGTGGAACCTAGCAAGGCGATCTCGTTAGCCTAGTCGAGATCAGTCTGCCCGCACCCGGGTGACCTGTTCGAAGGCTAGATCGGATATGTAACGGTTATCAGACATTGTTATAGATCAGAAGTTGCGCTGTAGTAGAGCGATAGTAGACGTTGGCGATGGTTTTGGCAGTTACACCCACCATGATGATGGTGGACAGAATCAAAAGCCGCGGCGAAGCTACAGACTGCCGCCGGTCGGTTGCCACTTCCTTTGTGAGCAAGTAGACACGCGAAGCCTTATATTTTGCTGATTGATGAAACACTAGCTTACTACAATTCTTGTACGCACACTTTTAGCGGTCTCTGTCCTGTCTGATTTTAATTTACGGGCCTATTGGCAGACTACGCCTATACTCGCACTCTCGTAATGTTTGCGTCAAGTTCATCACCAGCGCGTTGGCTCGCCACGTGCGTGATAAT